TTCCCTATTAAAGCCCAGAAAGCACAACTTACGAGTTCCTACTCATCATGCCCTACACTCCCCAAGTTCACATATTTCAATTCTGGTTTAAGGTGAGTTTCCTTATTATGTCAATACGTAAAGACAAACATTTCACCTTTAACATAAAGGCAAACTTTGTAACGCTATAAAATTATTCCTAGAAGATACATTAATTCTGTAAATGCTCAAAATAGTTACATTCCAACAAAATAATTTAAAGACTACTTTTTCCTCTAGTCTCCATCAGAAAGGAATCATGCACCATAGCAATCATTTCTCAAAGAGCCACTCTGTCCTCAACAGTTAGAGGAGACTAAAGCTGTTGCTCTTGGCCTTCTCCAGCCTCTCCCCAAACAGCATGGATTGTTTCATATGATTACATCAGAACTATCAGGTCACTAGTTTGGTTTGTTGGGGTTTTTTAACATTTCATATAAAACAAATCAAAGCTACCCATTGATAACTTCAACACCACTTCATTTTAGTTCATTAGAGGAAAATACCACAGAAAATGAAGATGATACTGTAGCAGTCCATGTCAGTCAAGACTGAAACAAACCCACCCCATACGAAACCCAAAACAAAACAACCAAACAAAAAACATCACAGCTTGTTTGTTCAGCAAATAGTGCACTTACCCCTGTGGGCTCAGGTCCAAAGAATCCTCACGGCTGTGCTGTAAGCTGGGAGAGCCCAAATCTGCAGCTGCATTACTGGCAGCGGTGGCTGTTCCAGTACTTATTGTTGTAGTGGTACCCAGCATTCCTGATCCATTAGTGCATACTTTTGGTGGGCTTGTTAGCAAAGCTTCAGACTCTGCCAGGTTTTTCACTTGGTGCATCACCCCTTTGCAAATGAAGAAATCATTGTTTGGTGGGGTGGTTTGGTTGTGGGGCTTTTTTTGAGAGGAAGTGTGGTAATAAAGGTGTTTGAAAAGGTAGAAGTCTTATTAGAACCTCTTCTTTGACTATGGCCCCATTGGCTCACCCCACCCCATCAATACTAAGTTTTAAAAGCTGTTCAATCCTTTCTTAAAAAGGTTAACCTACATAAATTTAAAGAAGACAGGAACATGAACAGTAGCTAAAGAAACCAAAAATTCCCAGTAACAAAGATGTCCTGCCAAACATTCATCAGTTTTGTTTACTAAGACTACTCATGTAATTTCAGCAAGCCATCTCCAGTCTAAATATAAGTTCACTAGCATCTAGTAAGCCTGTGAAAACTTGTTATAGATTCAGAAAAGGCAAGCTTCTCTCCTCCAGAGTCCTGGTCAGCTCCTCCCCAGTCACATAACAATAGCTTGTATGGATTTGCCTTTATTATTCAAGAACGAAATTAACTTTTTACAGCTTGGGGGGGATGAAGTGGGGGATGAAGGGTATCTATTCACTAGACATATTTTAGAACACTAAATAAGGAGGTGAAGAGGAGGGAAAAAAAGCAAGCAAGATTTACCTTCTCTTCTGAAGTAAACACTAAATATGTCAGGTAACTTTTGCATTAAAATCTCTGCCATCTGCAGGGCTCCAACTACTATCTTAAGGTCTTGACTTGAGAGCATGGAGGCAATATGACTAAAACAGATAATAAATTAGAGTTAGTTTTTGAGTTTTTTGTTGTTTTTAAATAATAACAAAAATCATCTTTGCATACATAGTACTGAAGACTGAAAGCAGACAAATTTCACTGTGCTTTTGTAAGAGCTACAAATGAAAGTACTGAAACAGCTTTCTTCCTGCCTAAATAACTTTTACCAAGTTTTAACTCATGGCTTAAAGGAAAGAAGTTTTTTCATTCTTTAAAGAACATGGTGTTGTGGAATTATGTACAGTTTTATTTTCTAATTGCATTCTTTTATCTAGATCCCTAACATTCTGGTATATCATGCAGGAGAGGTTTCTCAACTAGAACTTAGCAGTTGAACACCATGAGAGTCTGCTACTGTTCACACTGTATTACCTCAGAAGTCATCTTGCCCTCAAAAGTTTGTAGGCAAGTTTTAGAAATCAAGAGAACAGTAATAGTAGACATTACCAATAAATGCAGCCATACAGCTCATCTAAATTTCTAGTAAGAATGCCTAGAGTTGGCAACTACTATAAAATTTAGGATGCAAAAAAAAATCCCTGAAGAGCTAGCAGCCTCAGCTTTTGGAAAATAAAAATGTAAGAATTCAAACGTAAAATTTTCCTCTGAAAAAGGGGATTCAAAAGAGTAATCACAAGTTTGAACTCTAAGCTCAAAATTAATTTCATTCACAATGGTTAACAAACCCACCTTGAAACAGCATGGTTTTTCAGCACATCCTTTAGAAGTTCAGCATCAGCAAAATAAATTATCCTAAGAATTGCTCTAAGGCACTTGTGTCTAACAGCAGGTCCAGCTGAAGAACTATATACTTCATAAAGAACACCAAACAATGTTTTAATAAAGGATTTTGCTAGTTCTGGGTCCTCTTTCATTAGCTGTGCTCGAGCATCATCCTTCTTCAATTCTGAATGTCCACCTGTAAGAAATTGTGCAACAAATCACTGCATAGTTCTCTGCATCTCTGCTCTGATGATTACTTTCTTTTTTAAAAGCTGAATTAGTTTAGCTCTTGAATTGAATAGAGACAGTTCAAGAACCGAAAGTCAAAGTGATGGCAAGAATATAGATACAAATCTTCCTCTTTCAAGGAGTTTGATCTTTTTTCTTCAGTTTTCTTCTATGTTTCTGTACAATAGTAAGAAGTCCTCACACAGTTTTCATTAAATAGAAGAGCTTATGACCAAAACTGTTTCAGAAAATCCCAAGCCAGGAAGAGTACCAGCTTCTCCCCAGTTTAATGCATTATTTTCAGTTCCCAGGAAAAGCGTTTACATGTTAAAAAGAATACATTTCCACAGCTCAAGCTTTTTTGTCAAGCTGTCTTCATTCACTTAAATCAGAGTATTTTTTATGTTCCACAGAAACCACAAGAAATATACCAGCTAAATAGTAGACTGTTGTATAGGCCAGCATAAATTAGTTATAGCTAGAGACACCAGGTGTCTCCTAAGCTGTACTTACTAGTGTTTGTATTGGCTAAAGGGTTTGGTTTTCGCTGAATTGCACGTGCTGTTCCGGTATCCTCATTTATTTGCTGCATAGAGTTAAAATCAATAGTATAAACACGCCCAAGTGTAGACAGGCTTATCTCATCCTCACCAATCTGATGAGCTGCCTAAAAACAACAAAGAGTTTTAAGTTAAGAAATCCCTAACCAACAGGAAGCTGTAATGAAAGGTGATGAGAGAAGCAACACAGTAGGAAAAACAATGACTGACAGAAATACAGTAAGAACAATGATTAAGCAGTTCACCCGTTACTGAATATGGAAATAGTGCAATTAAAGCAGGAGGTTTGAGGAAACTCATGTGTTTCTAACTCCGAAAGAAGGCAGATATTTTCAAAATCAAAGAAAGCACAGAATTCCCTATACAACCACATGCATATTTCTAAGACATAACCACACGAATGTGTGGATTTACTACCTCTATTATTCGACTATCAATCCTGTTATAGGGATGCCAGAGACCTCTGTCATCTCGCCACTGCCATATTGCACCATCTGTATTTTGCGCATTTCCTTTCTTTAGCATAGTATCAACAGCAAAGATTCCCTCTTTTGGCAGGCAAGGCATCAGTTCACTGTGAAGAACATAAAATCAGTATTTTATTAGAAGTATGCAATAAATTCCACCTAAGCTGAAAACTGTTTGACCTCATTTTAGAGAAGTTACAGATTTTAACATACCAACCAGACCCAAAACCTGTGGCTGCATAACTTACCAGATAAGAGAAGTAAGCTCATAAAGTTCTTGAGGACTTCGTGGAACAAGGTCAATTTGTTCTTGGCAACTCCCATTTGAAGCTCCACAAAGGAGGAAATGAAGTGTTTCTGCAATATCTATAAAAATTATTATTCATTAGATTGCCTACATCAGCATATAGGCTCCATTTTGTGTTAGATACTATGCAGAAGAGGTAGTCACTGTCCTAAGCAAACAGACAGTAGGACAAAAGCTGCCTTTTCTAACGTTTTAAGAAATGTGTTTGCTCTCAGGTCTGGGGTTTGTGGGGTTTTTCTGGTGTAGGTCTCTTTCTTTCCCAACCCTCCACCCCCTGGTCCTGGCATTAAGGGACATCTAGAGGGGAAAATACCACTATATATAGAGGGCACAGAAGAAAATGGTAACATACAAAACAATTGAAGCAAGAAGTCAAAATTTACGAGATGAAGGGAATGAATAAGAATCAAGACAGCTACACAGCTGTTACTTTTCTCAATTTTTTCTCTTAGGAAAAAAAATGCTTAAATCACATATTTCCTCCACCTGGTAAAGACTATAAAAATAATTATTCAGCTTGTGTTGAAATGAGAGTAGCTTTTGCAGTTAATATAGACTCAAAATCAGGCAAGCACTCCAGTGATAACAGCTAGAGACAGAAAAGAGGTGTAAAACCCCTCAGGAAGAGACAACCAACAACTTTCAACAAGATTAACTAAACTTTTTATCCCTTTTTATCCATTTTAAGAGGCAGAAAAGTAAGCAAACACAGTATTTGCATAATCAAGTGCAGAGTTCCACATTGACTGTAGGTATTAACTTAAAATAGGTTTCCCAGAAAATGAAAGAGCAAGAACTCACTTTGCTTCATCAGTTGGACTGCAAGTGTAGGACAGTTGGAGCACATTAAGGAAAACATGCGCACCACCATGATGAACATTCCTGAGCTCAGGATAGGAGGCGTCACTACCAATAGCTGCTGGATATTTGTCAACAAGTCCTTGGAAGCAACCTGCTGGAGCAAGTTCTTCAGGAGGGAATAGCAAAATTAAAAACACTACTCTGACTTTGAAAGGTAAGTCCTCAGGAGAAACTGAGGGAGGGAAGAAGGTAACAAAAATCCACATCCAAAAATACCCCACACTCTTACCTCCTCATGCTGGAAGTTGTCCACAAGCCGTGCAAAACAGAGGCAAGTGCTTTCAACAGACTTTTTGTCCTATTAGAAAAAAATTAAGTATTTGTTTGAATTAAAATGTTTTTGACTTGCATTAATCTGTCATTTTGAGGCATTTATAAAATTTATCCCAAAAGGCCAGTTGAATCACATTTTACAGATTATTACAGCTCTGAATTTTAAATTCATTGATACAGTCTAAGCTAATATGGCTGTGCTTCTGCATATTCCCTGGAAAACACCTCATACTTTCAAGGCAGGTATCTTTAGGGACCTTCAGAAATTAATAAATGGATCTGTAATATCTGTTTTGGATTCTACAAGGAGGAAACAAAAAGGAAGAGAGCAACAAAGCCAAATAGGAGATACAGATAACAAGCAGGAGTGAAGGTCACTGTTCTGCAGACTACATGAAACCTGATTTTTATATCATGTGGTGTAGCCAAGACAGCAAATCCAAAAACACCAAGACAGTAAAGATTGCTCTAGAAATACTTTTTCAGCTTCACTGATATTTTGGGATGGTTTTTTTTTCCCCTAGAAAAATTCTACTTCAAAAATTTCTTGAAATCTTACTTTGCAGGCTGTTATCTTCTCTTTAGAGAGCAGGAGTCAGTATTTGTCCCTACTACTACTGAGAATGGCACTTCCTGTTTCCAAAGCACCATCTAAAGCTGACATTTGACTTCTGTGAAACTGCCTCAAAGATTTAAGCAGTGTCTCAGCAACAAAATGCTGGCAAATTAGGAACAGCACAAGAATACACAAAAACATGACCTGGAAGCTTCTATTTAGTTGTATTCGTTAAGGAACAAAATAATTTCTCCTTTTTCACCGTTTTAACATGAATCTGTCAACCAAGCAGTATGTCCAAATCTCTTCTGGTACAATAGTCATTGTGAGTGCTCATTTATGAACACGGCAGCATTGCAGGATAGGCAGATCTTAGGAGCACCATGATTTTGGATTCATCACTTCAAACTATTGTGCAAGAGTAGGAACTCTTTTTCAAAAAGCTGTAAGCCCTCCCAAGAACTCAAATCAGAGAAAAAAAAACCCAAAATAAAACAAAACTCCAACCAGAAAAACTGAAACTCAAGTTTTTTTGAGTTGGAAGTGGGAGGGAACTTTGCAATTCATTTGTTAAGAAAACTGAACAGTAATGCTACTGGATTTCCTCTTACTGATAGGCAACAAGCGAGGACTACAAACCCACTATTACTCATGCTATAAGCTAAGTACCCAACTTCTCATTTTACAGAAGTGAATTCTTACAGCATGTTTACAAAAAGCAAAAGGTCCATATGCACATTATAATATCACAACCTGACAGTACCGAAACTTTAAGGCAATTATCACATTGCAAAGGCAAATAATACACAGTAAAGAACTAGATATCTGGAGGCAACTTCATGCTGCTTTCAGGTTAAAATAAAATCTTCCCATTTTAAAATGGCTTCTTACCTGATGGGTTAACCTCTGTGTAAGCAGTGGCAAAGAGTCTGCCACAAAGTGAAACTCATCAGGTGTTATACTCTGGCAGCAGTTGGCAGCAATAGCTAGAGCATTCCTCTGTGCATTTATACTGAAGAATTCCAGATACAGCAAACAGTCTGCCAACCCACCCTATAATAAAATAAACATTTTCACTCTCAGTACTACTAAAATTACAGTAACTTGTTTTCTTATTTCATCTTCACAGAAGATCAAAGGTGCAGAAGTAGTAGAGGTAAAAATGCTTTATTTTTTACTTACTGCCTGCAGAATGGCTTTACTATGCCTGCGTGATAGCATCTCCAGAGCTGTAAGCGCCTGCTCTGCCACATCAATGCACTGAATAACTTGCAACTAAAAGAAAACAAGAAAGCTTGTAGATCAATTTCTAAACTACTTCCAGTAAGAAATAACAGTCTTCATTAACACTTGAACAATTAGCCTGTACATATGCTAAGGCAGCTGCACTGCTAGCTGTAATCAAGCTAACCAATTTAAGGCTAGATCAGCTACCCAGCTACTCCAAAGGTTTACCAGTCCGTATAATTACTCAGTATCTTTGCCACACCAATGACAGAGTCCTCACAGTGAATCAGATAGTGCTTTTCAGTAATGGTGAGAGCAACAAGTGAACATGTGTTATAAAAGCTTCTCATGCATTATGTATTACCTTTCAAGATTTGAAAAGAAGTCATTATCTTAATGGTATACCCCTAGAGTTAAAACAAAAGAAAATCCCCTCGGATTAGTTTAACACTGTTTTAATTTTATTTTACCTTTTCCAAGAAGACAGGAATTGCATCTACCACTACAGCAGATGATCTGGGAAGTGCTTCCATCATATATGTCAAGGCTCGACATGCATGGTTCATCTATTAAATATATAGATATTTGTTTTAAAATTCAGATTATATATATTTCTATTAAAAAAATTCTTAAACATTACCAATTACTTACAATGTCAAAGTTGTGCTCCATCTGTAGCAGTGTTATCTGTTGTGGGTTTTTTGTTGGTGGTTTGTT